ACTGGGGGGGAACTGACTTGGGGTCACTGACATCCCCAGTGACACCAATACAGTGATCAGTGCAAAAAAAAAAAAACAAAAAACACTGACACTGTACTAATGGCACTGGGGAGGAAGGGGTTAAGTTTATTATTCAGGGAAAGGGTTAACTGTGTAAGGGGAGTGTTTTACTAGGGGGCGGGGGGGGTGTACTGCAGGGAACACCGCTGATCGGGAGAGAGAAACTCTTCTGTCCCGATCAGCGTGTCCTGGAGCTGTCAGGGAACTGACAGAAAGCACAGCTACTGCAGCTGTGCTCTCTGTCAGCGATTGCCGCTGATCGCCGGGACATAGCCGGTAACGACCGGCTGTTACCCGGCGACTGACATCTGCGGCTGTGATCGGCAGGACAGGTAGGGTGGCGGCGCAGCCACTACCGGTTTTAAAAACACACGTTTTTAAAGCAGTGACCAAATTACAGCTCACACAGTAGTTCTCAATGGCTGCAAGAATACAGACAGAGAGAAAGAAATGATTGCTTTTACATCCTATATGGGTGTAAAAGCAATCAGTGTGAAAAAAAAAATCACCCCCCCCCCCCCCCCCAACAAGTAGTACAGTGTCACCATGGTGACACTGTACTGCTAGGGTGACAGTATGTAAAAAAACAAACAAATAATATAAAAAAATAAAATAAAAATGTAAAACAAAATGTTTAAAAATTATAATTTTTGGTTATAAACTAATTTGGCTTTTTTTTTTTTTTTTTTTTACTAAAAAGATAATGGAATAAATTTTGGCCAAGATTTATGATGAAATATTATTTATTTGCAAACTTTTATAAGAAAAACACTTTTTTTTTCAAAATTTTTGGACTTTTTCATTTACATAGCAAAAAAAATAAAAATCCCCAGCGGTGAATAAATACCACTCAAAAAATGGTAAAAATCATAAGTACAGTGTTGCATAGCAATTTTCACAAAGTGTGATAGCAAAGCTGAAAATTGCCCTGGACAGGAAGGGGGTAAAAGTGTCCAGACAGGAAGTGGTTAAAACCAAAACATTAATTACACAGGCTCTGTGGCTGATTAAGGTGGTAATTAAACTAGCTTAGTGCCTTATCTGCATTAAATTAGCCCCAGAACCTGTGTAAAACTGGAAGTAAACGCTTTTTGTTTTTTTAATTACCACCTACAGGTAAGCTTACCTGTAGGTAAAATGAATATCTCTTAAACGTGCACCATTTAGGAGATATTGCCTCTTTTTTAAAGCTGGCGCATGAGCTCTGAAGGAACGGCATACCTGTGCCGTTCCTTCAGAGCCGTGTGCCATAGCCCAGTGACGTCATCGTGGCCCAGCCTGTTAGATGGCTGGAGCTTTTGAATGCAGAAGGAAGACCAGGTGAAAATTAAAGAATTTGCAGCGGTGACAGCACGCCACTCAAGTGCTTCATTTTAAAGTGTCACTAAACCCACAACAGTGAAATCAGGCTGTATATGCAGTAAAGCATACCTCTTATACTCATTGTGGAACCTAAAGGGATAATCCCCTGCATTGTGTAAAAACGCTGTTTGATCCTGACTTCTCTGATCCTCCCCTTCTTCCAGTGTCCCCCTCTTGTCTCCTGATAAGACATATTGTGTGGAGGCACTCTGCACATGCTCAGTTTGGTGTGTATTGCTATAGAGGTTTTTGTATTTACTTGGGAGAGTGCATGACATCAGCAAAGGGCCAATCGGAATTGTCCAGACAGAGGTCAGAGGTCCTGCATCCTCCTGGAGCAGAATGAAAATTCCTCCCACAAGCTTTAACCAGTGCTCGACTGGACATTTAAAAAAAAAAAAAAAAAAAAAAACTACTTGTCCAGGGACTAAATCTGTGCCCCAATCTATTGGTCCCTCGTGACAATCTACTTGTCCTGATGAAAAAAATAAATTTTGAACAAAACCGTATTTAAATCTGAGGTGATTTAAGGAATGCCTGGGGCTTTTAAAAACAAAAAGGGGCTTTTATGGCGACTTAAACATTTAATATTTTTAACATTGCACTATTTACCAATCCTCCCCTCCCTGCCTGTCTCCAGCACCGCACCCGGGGACTAGTAGGGAGGGGAGAGACCTTGAAGTGTAATGAGCACTGATTGGGTGTTGGTCAGGGAAGGGGAGTGTCGGTCTTATCCTTTTTAAAGCCCCTAATAGGTCATCAGTATAGTGTACGGAGGAGGTCTGCTGCTAGAATTATTGCTCTCATTCTGGCATGTGCAGCGATATACAACGTGTATATCAATCAGCGTTTTCATGTGTAGGCGCCCCAGCGTGTGCTTTTACGTTTGTATGTGCGTACATATGTGGGAATGGGGGGCCTCAAAAATTTTTTTGCGGGGTTATGTGCTTGGGGGTAAATTTACTTTTTTTTTTTTTTTTTTTTTAAAACCACTTGCCTACTGGGCACTTATACCCCCTTCCTGCCCAGGCCAATTTTCAGCTTTCAGCGCTGTCACAATTTGAAAGACAATTGTGCAGTCATGCAACATTATACCCATATGAAATTTTTATCATTTTTTTCTCACAAATAGAGCTTTCTTTTGGTGGTATTTACTTGCCGCTGGGCATTTTACTTTTTGCGCTATAAACAAAAAAAGAGCAAAAAAAAATATAACATTTTGCAAGCAGGTAATTTTTCTCCTTCACTGATGTGTGTTGATGAGGCTGCACTGACGGGCAGAACTGATAGGCGGCACTGCTGGGCACAGGTGGGGGCACTGCTGGGCACCGATCAGGACACTGATCATCAGTTCCCTGATGATCGGTGCTGATCCCTGCTCTGACAACTGCAGGTTCTCGGCAGTACTTTCCTCACGCTCTAACAGTGTGAGGAAAGTGCACCCGAGAAGCGGCAATTGCATTTCCCGGTGATCAGCGGGTCATTGGACACAGCTGATTACGTGGTAAAAGGCCGCTGTGATTGGCCTTTTTTACCACATCACGTGATCAGCTGTGTCCGTAGGACACAGCAATCATGGAGACCACTGGGTGCGCGCCCCCAGGGGTGTGCAGGAGAGCGCGCTCTGGGAAGATGTCAAATGACGCCCCACCCAGAACTGGCCAGTCGCAGTGCAGCCGTCATTCGGCTATCTGCAGTCGGCAACTAGTTAATTCAATCACTAACAGACAAAAAGTCCCCTATGTGATGATTTTTTGGTGACAGGTTCTCTTTATTAAGACATCCAGGGTCTAAAAGACCCTGGATGTCTCCCCTGTACTCCACTGAATGTAATGCAGGGCACATCACACTGCATTACATTATTTCCCAGCCTTGATAGCTAGGAAATCTGTCAACAGGGACCCGGAAGTGACATCACATCACTTTCAGGTCAGGAGGAGGGGAGCGGATGTGTCCGCTCTTCTCCCTCCCCTACACCTGCCGGCACTCACTGAACTAGTCACATAGTCACAGGCCCGCAGATGGGCAAGCTAAGCCCGGGAGACATAGCGGGCAGGGGGGGCAGATGAGGGCACTGTAGTGGGTTGTGTGGAAGCAATCAGGCAGCACAGCTGCCCGAATGCTTCCACCTGACAGGCGAGCCCTGCTGCTTGCCCGCAACAGGGCAAAAGATTAAAAAATACCTGCCCAATGCCCGGAACTACATGTTTGTGGTGTCGGGCGATATAAATTGAACATCCCTGTGAACACTGACAGAAGTCACAAGACTGCTCTAACTGCTGATGAGAAAATGTATTTAGCAGTTTATATTTACTGAAATTGCATTTCCATTTTCTGTGGGAGACCAGATATAGTGAATGCAGCTCTCCTGGGTTTAGTAACACTTTATAACATTACCTTGCAGGGGACTTTTTTTTTTTTTCCCCCCCCTTTCCCTGAGGTTTAGTACAGCTTTAATAGATGTTCAGTTTATAAAGTGATGAGGTGGCAACACTAGGTGATACAGAAAGATGAAACAAATCCTCCTACATAAGTTTGACCTGGTTTTCTCTTCATCAACTGCAACTCAAAGTGCAGGATTTATAAAGCTTGTATGAGAGTTCAGGAAAAAAAGGAGTGGAAAGCTGAAATTACACTCTGTAGGGCTCGGGAGGACAGCTTTAAGAGCTGATTGGAAGGAAGAGACACACCTCCTTTACACAGCACACAGGAACAGAGCTGAGGCTATCAAACTGCTGGAGGTCCCTCCCCATCACCTTTATTCTCCTGGGGTCAGGAAAACCTGTCAGAAGTGACTCATGCTGGATGGCAGAGGCACAAAGCAGCAAACAGAAATGACAGTTAGTGCTTTTAATTGAGACAAGTACACACTATAGAGGGATATACTTTATGTCTGAGGTATAGAACCACTTTAAAGTGTTACTAAACCCAGGACCCTGCATTCACTATATTGGGTCTCCTACAGTACATGGAAATGCAATTATTTTAGTAAATACAAACTGCTAAATACCTTTTCTCATCAGCAGTATACAGCAGTCTTGTGACTTCTGTCCAGCAGAGAACTGGTTAAAACGTGCAGGAGGAGTTTTCATTTTGCTCTAGGATGCAGAACCCCCGATCTCTGTCTGGATAGTGCTAATTAGCCCTGTGCTGATCACATGCACTCTCCCGAGAGAAAAAAAAAAAAAAAAAAAAAAAAAAGCAACCTCTCTAGCCATACACACTAAACTGACATGTGCAGTGTCTCCACACTATATGTGTTATCAGGAAGAGGGGGACACTGGAAGAAGGGGATGATCAGAGCAGTCAGGATCAAACAGCATTTTCACACAATGCAGAGGATTAACCCCTTAGGCACCATGGTAAGTATAACAAGCATGCTTTACTGCATATACAGGCTGATTTTACTGTTGTGTTTTTGGTTCAGAGGACCCCGAATCTCATCTCTTTGGCAGCTATGTATGTCAGATTTGGCTGGAATCCCATGCCAATCAAGTATAATCATCACCTCTGTCCTGGCAAGAGATCAGACAGGATAATAGCAGACAACATCACACATGGTGACACACCTGACGTACCTGTGTGCCCCGGAGCACCGTACACATGGGCCAGCGGTGGCCCGTTGCTCTTCTTGGTCCAGGGGTTGACCTTTGGCAGCGGGGCCTCCATGGCTCTGAACTCTGAGGGTCCACCATGCTGGTCGTTCTCCTTGTTGTGAAGCTGAGACTTCGGCTCTATGGAGTCCTGGCCTTCACCTCTCTCCACCTCCCTGACAGGGGCTGGCTTGTACACCTCAGCTGCCATGTTTGGAGTTCAAGGCTCAGAGTATGGGCTGTATAGGAGTGCTGGGGGCTGAGCCTGGCCTCTACAAGACTCATACAGAAGGGCTGCACTTGTGGACTCCACACACAATGGCACACATAGGAAACTTGTGCCCAGGACACTGCTGCCAATGGCTCCCACAGTGCAGGTGACCAGGGGCCTGGCTGCTGCTCCGGTTACAGGAACACAAACAAGGACTGCACCCACCAAAGTCCTCCAGGAGTCCGCTTCAGCCGGTCTGTGACACCCAGGTCAGCATATGTCCTCCACTATCAATGTCTGTTCGAAGCGCGTTCACCGAGCAGATTAACACGGGAGCGTTTATTTACTTACAAACACTGCACGTCCACGTGCCCCGCCCATTCTGGGGAGCGCGCCTGCCTGGCTTCAGAAAGGTCCTAGGCGCGCATGCGCACAGCTGTCATCGCAGCTGTCAGCGTGTGTGTGCGCGCGCGGGGCGGGGAGCGCGCTCCCGCTGATGACCTGACTCTGGTGACAGTTCTAAGTTATGAGCCACTGCTGGGAGCTCTATATTTGTCTGCTTTAGCCTTGTGGCTACTAACTGTAAAAGGAAACACTTCTCTTCAACCTTTGCTACTGATTCATCCTAAACTATAACAAAGTAGCAGGGCAAGTTGCTGAGATGGAAATTGTGGGTATAGCAATACAAGAAATAAAGAGGACATGGGTCAGCCGACAGGAAAAGTCCAAGTTAAAATGGATCATGTATATGGATGTTTACAGGCGCAAGTTATTGTTATAGAGGAGTTATGGAGCAATAATAGTTGGCGAAGTGCTTTACAAAATAAAAAAGAAATGGCGTGCGTTCAATAGGATTCAATACCAGAGGGTTCAGAAGGCCGTGCTCATTACAGCTTACTAAAGGGGGGGTCCAGTGATAGATAGAAAACTGTGAGGGGATGAGTTGATGGGGAGGGTACAAGGATACTGTAATACCCCATTTAGTGGCTTAGTGTGTGGGGGGCAGCGTGGGCAGTCACCCCAGGCACAACATTTAAAGGGGAGCAAATATTAGTCCAGCGCTGTCCAGAGTCCCGCACGTGTTTGACCATCATACGATCATGGCATCAGCTGCCCGGCACCCGGCACTGTTCTGCTGCCACTGCCCTCTCCAATGTGGGCCAGGCCCAGACTCCACGCAGCCCTTTCAGTTGGAAGTCCACCGATCCTAGTTCCGGCTCCTGTGCTGCTCCCCACTCCATCCGGCCCACATGTAGGAAGGGGAGCCGGCTACTCTCTTACACTGGAGGAGGCATACAGCTCACACCAGACCCCCCCACCAGTCCAATCCCAACCAGGTCCTCAGAGAACATCGGGTGGTGTGCAGGGAATGTGATTGGAGCACTGTTGTCGCTTTCTCTTTTTCTCTGTCTCTTTTTCTTATCTCTTTCTCTATATCTCTTTCTCTATATCTCTTTTTTTCTCTGTCTCTTTTTCTCTTTCTCTGTCTCTCTCTTTTTCTATATCTCTTTTTCTCTGTCTCTTTTTTCTCTCTCTTTTTCTATATCTTTTTTCTCTCTCTCTTTTTCTATATCTCTTTTTCTCTTTCTCTTTTTCTATATCTCTTCTCTTCTCTTTTTCTCTTTTCTCTTTTTTTCTTTTTCTTTTTTCTTTTTCTCTTTTCTTTTTCTTTTCTCTTTTTCTCTCTTTCTTTTTTTCTATTCTTTTTTTCTCTTTTTTTTTCTTTGTTTTTTTTTTCTTTTTCTTTTTCTCTTTTTCTCTTTCTTTTTTTCTTTATCTCTTTTTCTCTTTCTTTTTTCTTTTTTTTTTTTTTTTTTTTGTCTTTTTTTTTTTTTTTTTTTTTTTTCTATATCTCTTTTTCTTTTTCTTTTTTTTTTTTTTTTTTCTTTTTTCTTTTTTTTTTTTTTATTTCTTTTTTTTTTTTCTTTTTTTCTTTTTTTTTTTTTTTTCTTTTTTCTTTTTCTTTTTTCTTTTTTTTTTTTTCTTTTTTTTTTTTCTCTTTTTTTTTTTCTTTTTTTTTTTTTTTTTTTTTTTCTTTTTTTTTTTTTTTTTTTTTTATATTTTTTTTTTTTTTTCTTTTTTTTTTTTTTTTTTTTTTTTTTTCTTTTTTTTTTTTTTTTTTTTTTTTTTTTTTTTTTTCTTTTTTTTTTTTTTTTTTTTTTTTTTTTTTTTTTTTTTTCTTTTTTTTTTTTTTTTTTTTTTTTTTTTTTTTTTTTTTTTTTTTTTTTTTTTTTTTTTTTTTCTCTTTTTCTCTTTTTTTTTTCTCTTCTCTTTTTTTTTTTTTTTCTTTTTCTTTTTCTCTTTCTTTTTCTCTTTCTTTTTTTTTTTTTTTTCTCTGTCATTTTTTTTCTTTTTTTTTTTTTTTTTTTTTTTTTTTTTTTTTTTTCTTTCTTTTTTTTTTTTTTCTATTTTTTTTTTTTTTTTTTTCTTTTTTTTCTTTTTTTTTTTTGTCTTTTTTTCTCTTTCTTGTCTTTTTTTTTCTTTTCTTTTTTTTTTTTTTTTTTTTTTTTTCTCTTTCTTTTTTCTTTTTTTTTTTTTTTTTTTTTTTTTTTTTTTTTTTTTTCTCTTTTTTTTTTTTTTCTCTTTCTCTTTCTCTTTTTCTCTTTTTCTATATTTTTTTTTCTTTTTTTCTTTTTTTTTTTTTTCTTTCTTTTTTTTCTCTTTTCTCTTTTTTTTTTCTTTTTTTTTTTTTTCTTTTTCTTTTTTCTCTTTCTCTTTTTCTCTTTTTTTTTTTATATTTTTTTTCTCTTTTTTTTTTCTCCTTTTCTCTGTCTCTTTCTTTTTCTCTTTTTCTTCTCTTTCTTTTTTTCTATATCTTTTTTCTCTTTCTCTTTCTCTGTTCTTTTTTTTTTTTTCTTTTTCTTTCTTTTATTTTTTTCTTTTTGTATTTTTTTTTTTTCTCTTTCTTTTTTTTTTTTCTCTTTTTTTTTTCTAGATTCCTTTTCTCTTTCTCTGTCTTTTTCTCTTTTTTCTGTATCTCTTTTTCTGTATCTCTTTTTCTCTTTAACTCTTTTACTCGGTCTTTTACACTGTTTCTCTTTCTTTCTCTCTCTCTCTCTTTTACTCTTGTTAACTCTTTCTCTCTAATGCCCCCATACACACGATAAGAAAATTCTGTGAAAAATTTTGCAGAACCACTGATCAAACGATTTTCTCTTCGTCGATGAGCAGGATGTTTTAACTGATAACAATATTGTGAATAAAAAAATCCTGTTGAACAACAGTGAAAAATGTTGTCATTTTGCATAAGAACGACCGATTTTTTTCTATGCGGTGGTATGACAGAAAAAAATCTATCAAGTGCTATCACGCATGAGCGGAAACAGAAGATGACTCGGATGTTTATGTCCAAGGAATCTTCATAAACACGAACGAAAATTCCAAATGTTAAAAGTAGATTGGCCTAATGAGATAATGAAACCAGAATTCTGCATATTATATTTTATGTATCACTATTTATGTATGTAGGTAATGTAATAAACTATATTTTACTCATTGCTGTTATTGTGTATATCGCTCGTTCTGGCCGGAAGGGTGTGGCTACAAGGTCACACGCACACTGCATCACTTCCACTTGTACGGAAGACGTCAACACTACGTATTGCCCGACAAACGATTTTTTTAGATTGGTTAATGTGGGCCACAATTTCGACCAAGGGATGAATGCCTCTCAGTCATCGGATGACCGATCGGTTGATTTTCTAATTGTATATATATATATATATATATATACAGTCAGGTCCATAAATATTGGGACATCGACACAATTCTAACATTTTGTGGCTCTATACACCACCACAATGGATTTGAAATGAAACAAACAATATGTGCTTTAACTGCAGACTGTCAGCTTTAATTTGAGGGTATTTACATCCAAATCAGTGTGAACGGTGTGTAGGAATTTCAACAGTTTGCATATGTGCCTCCCACTTGTTAAGGGACCAAAAGTAATGGGACAGAATAATAATCATAAATCAAACTTTCACTTTTTAATACTTGGTTGCAAATTCTTTGCAGTCAATTACAGCCTGAAGTCTGGAACGCATAGACATCACCAGACGCTGGGTTTCATCCCTGGTGATGCTCTGCCAGACCTCTACACTGCAACTGTCTTTAGTTCCTGCTTGTTCTTGGGGTATTTTCCCTTCAGTTTTGTCTTCAGCAAGTGAAATGCATGCTCAATCGGATTCAGGTCAGGTGATTGACTTGGCCATTGAATAAAATTCCACTTTTTTCCCTTAAAAAACTATTTGGTTACTTTTGCAGTATGCTTTGGGTCATTGTCCATCTGCACTGTGAAGCGGCGTCCAATGAGTTGTGAAGCATTTGGCTGAATATGAGCAGATAATATTGCCCGAAACACTTCAGAATTCATCCTGCTGCTTTTTTGTCAGCAGTCACATCATCAATAAATACAAGAGAACCAGTTCCATTGGCAGCCATACATGCCCACGCCATGACACTACCACCACCATGCTTCACTGATGAGGTGGTATGCTTAGGATCATGAGCAGTTCCTTTCCTTCTCCATACTCTTTCTCTTCCCATCACTCTGGTACAAGTTGATCTTGGTCTCATCTGTCCATAAGATGTTGTTCCAGAACTGTGTGAAGGCTTTTTTAGATGTCGTTTGGCAAACTCTAATCTGGCCTTCCTGTTTTTGAGGCTCGCCAATGGTTTACATCTTGTGGTGAACCCTCTGTATTCACTCTGGTGAAGTCTTCTCTTGATTGTTGACTTTGACACACATACACCTACCTCCTGGAGAGTGTTCTTGATCTGGCCAACTGTGGTGAAGGGTGTTTTCTACACCAGGGAAAGAATTTTTTTTCATCTTCATCCACCACAGTTTTTTTCCGTGGTCTTCCAGGTCTTTTGGTGTTGCTGAGCTCAACCGTGTGCTTTCTTTCTTTTTAAGAATGTTCCAAACAGTTGTTTTGGCCACGCCTAATGTTTTTGCTATCTCTCTGATGGGTTTGCTTTTTTTTTTCAGCCTAATG